ATTAATGTTCTCATGGCTTTCATTTCAAATTGCCAACAATGAGAGTGCAAGAACTATAAAAGCAGATTTGACAAGATCATACATTTGTATTCAAACAACACTCATGTGTATCCCTACCTGTGCACACAACAGTTCTTAACATTTGATTTGCTAGTTTATGAAAGCCATCAAAATGTTGTCACAAACAGAGGTTTCATTAAGGCTGGGCATCTGGCAAATTGACTGAGCTGTGACAACCATTTTTGTCTACCAAATAGAAATTGCACCAAGGATAAGGGATGAATTAATTTTCTTTTGTTTTATTTCCCAAAGCCTCATAGCTAAGTTAAAATTTTAATTCTAGATTGAAATTGGCCTATTTCTTCTCCTACAATGTCAGTGCAACAATACCTTGCTGATTTTAAAATACTCAAAAACAAGACTAAATGTATTTATTACTTACCTGACTGGTATCTTCTCCCCCATATATGGTTCCTGTCTCAACACCTCCATGATTTTGTTCCGCAGTTCTTGAATGTTATCTATCTTCCCCTCTTGCTCTGAAAATAAANACCTGACTGGTATCTTCTCCCCCATATATGGTTCCTGTCTCAACACCTCCATGATTTTGTTCCGCAGTTCTTGAATGTTATCTATCTTCCCCTCTTGCTCTGAAAATAAACAACATACGTTTTGACATTGATCCTGTGGTTATACATAACTGAGATATCCTTACAGTGTGGATGTAGGTATCTTGTAAATAGGTTCAAATCTGGTGTCATGAGAGCATGTCTCATAAATACTGTTGCTTGCTCTGAGAGCAAGCACCAGTAGCAAGCCAGAAAGAGAGTCTGCTCTGATCTCTGTGGAAATTCACTTCCACCCTTAGCACAGAGCTCCGGTGACCCGAAGTGGAGCATCATACGGATAAGAACCCATTAATTGCTTTTTTCACGGTCATCACAGCCATCATACGGGTGCATATGCACAACAATGACAACATCATGTAACATAAAGGTCAAACTCCAGCTATTACAGTGTAGGTCAAGGCATGCACATGCAGCCTTAATTTAGAGTGTACATCTTTGATATTGGGCATCCATGTTATGGTCAATTGATACTTGTCAAAGCAAGGTGTCCACTGACCAGTATCATGTGACCATATCGTGAACTAAGATTTAGAGCTCATTGAGGTCTCATGTTTTTTGTTTTTTTTAAGTTGACTGCTGCCCAGGTACTGGTCTTCAATTGGATCACAGGCTCAAGCCAGGTTTACTTATTGTAATCAGGAGCTCTGCTCTTAGGCTTGGCTATACTTATGTATTAAATAATTAATCACTTTTACACAGCAAGACATTAGTACTTTAATACCTGTTTGATATATTTGTTCCTTTGGACCCCGCCAAAAGACTCTCTTTATCCTATTCCAGATCAGTGAGCTTGTGTTATCAATGCTGAACAATGGTGGGACCACATGTT